AAACTGACAAGCATCTCAGATTTCAGTATGAACCAAACTCTGCAACATCCTTAGAGGTTTTCACCAATTCAACCGGAGTCTGTCACACACAAGTTTTCACCAGATAAACTTGAGATAGAAACACCCTCAGAAGTTTTACCGGATGAACTCGAGTTAGCAATTCAACAAAGTTAAGTCAGGTCCTCAGGACATTTTCTATTCAAACATTTCGTCCTTCATCCAAAGGACTTCCTCAGTCCGAGACGCCACAACAAACTCCATCTCATAAGTGGCTTACTCACATGGTGGGCGTGGCCAACCAGTTTTATGGTGATAAGATGGTTTTTGGAGTCCGCCTTCTCTCCCGTCAACCCCTCAGAGGCAGTCATAGCCAAATTAATTAAAAACATCAAAGTTCATGCTCAATAATCCAGGTAAATATCCAACAAAGTTAAGTCAGGCCCTCTGGACAGTTTCTTTTTTTGTTGAAATGTTTTGTCCTCCATCTCATGGACTAAAGTCAGCAATACTCAAAGTTTCACCAGATTACCCACAGAACACCTCTGAGGTTTTCCCTGGATACTTCAGGGACCGCAACACCTTCTGAAGTTTTAACCAGATAAACCGGAGTTTGCAACACCCTAAGAAATTTTCTCAAGCTGACGAGTCCACCTCAGCACTTTTCATAGGATAAACCAGAGTTATCAACACCCTCAGAAGTTTTCACCGGCTGAACGAGTTAGCGCCTCACTCTCTTTGTGTGCTGTAAAAAGATTTGGTATGCAGTGTGATACGGAGTTATTTAGCATGCAAATGAATCACAGAGTCAACCAGCTGCAAAGGCTCACCCTTAAAATTAGTGCGTTTGCCCTGCATTTTTAAATCCAAGTTCAAACTGGATTAGTTTCTGAATTTATTTGTCCAACGGTGGACCTTATCAGCACCTCCACATTCTGCACATTGCTCTTTGAAACTGTGTAGGCAGTGAAACAAAGGCCTTGGTATTCGAAGAACCGAACAAAAAGCTTTGTGTTTTGTTCAGTTGCATTTCGAAATGGAGGCCTTGAGCGACTGTTGTTTCACACCCCTCGCCCATTTTTTATTTAATTTTTTTTGAAGATGAAGTGAGCGTGCTTCAGTCAGGCAGTTGGTCTTTTGTTTCAAAAATAAATTGTTACAGCATTGTACGTGCCAAAAAAAAGGCCTGCTGAGAACGATGGCGGATAATTGAGCGAGTGTTAAAAGACGATTCTCTTTGGCGTGATCCGACATGTTCGCAGCGACAAAGTTAACACAGTAAAACTGGCATGAGATACTCTGTTTCGTTCTAGTTAAAAGTTAAATGAAAAACACTGGTTCACTCATTTGTGAAGTAAAATTAAAGCTGCATCAAGTAGCATGTTCATTCAAGGCTAACGCTACAGTGATGATACAACCGAAACAATCAGGTGTGATGCTGAATTGGCAAAATTATAGAGGTATTACTTTTGGACAGAAGCAGGAAGATATTTGCCTTTAACTGTCTGCCAGATTAAGTTTCTTATTGTCTTATCTAGAAAGTTTCAGGTTTAGCAAGTTTAAATGAACAAATCCAACAAAGTTAATCCAGGTCCTCAGGACGGTTTCTTTTTGCTGGAACAAATGTTTCGCCTTTCATCCAAAAGACTTCATCAGTCAGAGGAGATGTCAGTTTTTACTGCACTTTACAATTTACAAGCTCAAAGTGCTACAATATAAAATATCTAAAGAGAATAAAACATGGGCTAAAAAAGGACTAAAAAATTTTAAACAAAAAAAAAACCTGCAGGATTAAAAATACCTTTAAACACTATAAAATCTTTTAAATAAAAAGGTCTTCAGTCCTTTCTTAAAACTTTCTGTAGTATCCTTAGATGGTTGGGGAGGTTGTTCCGCAGACGAGGAGCAGCAGAGTAAAAGGCCCTGTCACCCATCGTGCACAGTTTTGTCCGGGGAGGGCGGATCTGGTAGGAATTTGTGGAAGGGACTGTGTTGATGTCTGAGCAGTTCTTTAAGATGGTGTGGAGCATTGCCGTGAATGGATTAGTGGGTGAGTAAGGCAACCTTGTTTTCAATACGGAGTGAAATGGGAATTTGAGTGCAGGGATTTAAGGATTGGGGTGACGTGGTCATGTTTCCTTTGCTCCATCAGAATCCTGGCTGCACTGTTCTGTACACACTGAAGTTTTTGAATGTGCTTGGATGGAATTACATAAAAAAAATTAAAAAAAATGCATTGCAGTAGTCCGGTCTTGAGGAGACGAAAGCATGGACAAGTTTTTCAGCATTGGAAAAGGAGAGTAATGGACAGAGTTTGGAGGTGTTTTTGAGATGAAAGAATGAAGTGTTATATAGCACCTTAGTGGGTCAACCAGTTTGATGGTGTTAAGATGGTTTCTGGAGCCTGTCCTCCCTCCTGCTGACTCTTTTGAGGCAGTCATGGCTAAAGTGGTTCAAAATATCAAAGCAAGTGGATTATTGAGCATGAACTTTGATATTTTGAACCACTTTGACCATGACTGACTAAAAACAGTCCGCAGGGGAGAGGTTGGACTCCAGAAACCAGCTTGGCACCATCAAACTGGTTGACCCACTTATGTGAAGTGCTATTGCTGGTAATAAGACTGAGTTTGCTGTGGCTCCTCGGACTGATGGAAGTTTTTTTTTGCATGAAAGACGAAACATTCGTTCCAACAAATAAAAACTTATCCAGAGAACCTGACAACTTTGTTGGATTTATCTACCTGAATTATTGAGCATGAATTTTGATATTTAAATTAACAAAGTAATTCTTGGTTCTTGTGAGTGAACGATCAGGTCCAAACATGGCCAAGTATCTGTGAAGATACTTGGATGGCCAAGTATCTGCGAACATACTTGGATGGCCAAGTGTCTGCGAACATACTTGGATGGCCAAGTATCTGCGAACATACTTGGAT